TGGGGTGGAATGGGTGGGTTTCCACATTAATTTTGCATTTTAACGAGCTATCACTCATACGCGATATGTGGTTAAATAAAATTACTTACTTACTTACTGGTGTTCAGTTTAGGTGATTCAGAATGCATTGTTTAAGGTAACTCCATTTTAACATGTCCCTGAAAACCTGTATACTGACCTCTTGTAGACATCAAAAGGAATACACTGACTTCCAAGTTTTTTGATAACATTTGCTTGAATAAAATTCAGTATTTGACCATTGATTTTGCTGGCAAGAACTGGCGAGAGTACCACTGAGACACAAGCCCACAATAAATCCTGTTGATTGAAAGAATAATTTTAGGGAGTCAACAAAATGAAGTTATTATTGGTCTGATGCACACTCCAATGGAAGCCCCATGTGTTTCTTTGAATTTAAATCTTCTCCCCTTTGTGCTTGGACCATAAATCCAAGCAGACAAACTTGTACCATAACTTAAAGTACGGACCTTGAATTCATTTCCTAACAATGTCATATGAAATATACAGTACAGTGTACATTGCACATACCAATGGTTGAATCAGCTATCTACCGTAGTAAAGGATAAACATGTCATTTCTGCCGATTGAGTACACTGAGTTTCCTCTTAGTTGCTTTATACTGTACTGATGAAATTCAACACAAAATAATTCAAAGTACCTTTTTCTTGAACAACTCCAGGGTGTAAGTAATTGGAAAGAATGGATAGCAGTTGTTGTTGACAAAGAGATTAGCAACAACAGATGCAAACACTTCCACAACAAACACCTGAGAATGGAATAACAGGTTAAGCTCCAGATTAACACTACACTGTAATTATCATCTTTATTACTTCTGTCTTATGTGAGAAAGTTTTAACTGTAGTTTTGGTTTTAAAACAGCACAATCTTTTTTAGCTGTGACAAAAATAATATGTAGAATTACCAAAATGCTACATGTGGCACTATTTATGTCATGACCATAGGAAATTAGCCCCAAGTGTTGATTCTCAAAAGTACTCTTAGATCAAAAGCAGTTTTATTCCTTTCTTTCCATGAAAAAGTTAAACAGTCGTTTCTTAATAAGGATGTGCATGTAAATTACATAATTATGTACTTTGAATCTAATATATATATATGCGCGAGTGTACCTTTAAAGAGACATCTTTAGGAGGCTTGATCTCAAAATGTGAAAGAAACTCCTTTTTTGCTTTGATTACAATCTCCCCTGCAATTCTTATTGTTTCCTGTAACACAAAAATGATGCCACCTTCTCAGTCCTTTAACTGCAAATACAGTATTTTGTTGTCTTCTAAAAATTGCAACTTGGCAATTTGTTGATTTATCCAAAATCAAGTTAATTACGCCACAAGGTTAAAAAGCTGTCTATGATCTGATTGTCAATTCTCTCCTCTAGCTGCTATACAATTCCTTGTAAACTGGTTAGGAGAATTTGGTGTTCAATCAAGGCAACAACTTCTACCTGATAAGTTTGAGTATTCTCATTACCTGTGTGCTGGATAATGTATGGATATTATAAGGAGAAGTTACAGATTAATCACTTCTGGGTGTTAAAGGGTTAAGTCTATAGTTGGATGCTACTATACACAACACTAATACATATGTCTCCAATACAAAGGATTCTATGAACATGTGCAAAAAGGCCCTCAATAAAAAAATTTGTGTAATTGTAAGTTTCATTTCTACTGTTAGAAGAACTTTTCTTAGAGGTCTGAGGTTTGATTCCTTAAGGGGACTCATAATTTTTGTGAAGGAGGAAAAAAAACATCTTTCTTTTTTATAACTTATCAAATGTTATCTTTAAAAAATTCATCCACCATGCTAAGGAATGGTTTCATACTGTATGTAATAATTAATAACAGTAATTATTATTATTATTACTATTATTATTATCATTATTATTGGCCAAAAAGCAGCAACTTTGCATAATCAAGAAAATGATAAATATAGTTATTAGAGCAACATATTACGTCTTTTGTTGTAGAAATAGGAATTGGGACAACCCAGATTTGATGCAATTTTGATTTTTGTGTGTGTGTTGAATAAGCCAATCTCAAGCAGCATTTGTAAATTGCCTATACGAAGTGAGATTTACAATTGTACATTTAAAAACACAAATAAAGTTTCCATTATTATTATTAT